TATATCTCTCTGATAAAATTAAAATAATGAATAAATAATTCATTAAAAAAACCCATAGAACTGATTGTCTCATGAGACTTTTTGCTTTTTAATATACAAAAGAAAATTTGCATGACTTTATTCATTTTTTTGTTTGCCAGAGGGCAGTCGCTCAGAGAGAGGGAGGAAGCAAGCACCCTCCAACAGGGTGTGGTCCAGCTGTAACCCCTTCTCCATTTTCCACTCTGTTAAGACTTTTGAGTATGTATGCATGCACATATACTTGGGCCTGTTCATCAAACTGCCAGGACTGGGCTCTGAACCACACATGGCCAGCCTTATGGGATCTGGCTGTCCTAACTACCACACTACTCATTTTTAATCGCCAGAGGGCATGTAAGCTCCCAAGAAACTGAGAGGGAGAAAGCAAACCCCCGATGGGGTGGAGTCAATTCTGCAGTCCTTTCTCTTCCCTTTCTCCATCCTGTCAGAAACGTGGACATGCATGTGTACACATGCCCAGCATGTTTTCCAAGGCCAGGATTTGAACCAGTCAGCTATGTGGGGTTGGGTTTATATAATATCCAATTCCTATGTCCAGTATGCGTACCTTCCTGCATCTTCCTTCTGGTATCTGAGGAAAGTGGCCTAGGATTTATTTCTCTCAAAGCAACCAACTTGATTTCTTTTCATTATAACCAAGGGTCAATCAAAGTTTTCTTTCTTTCTTTCTTTCTTTCTTTCTTTTTTTTTTTTTTTTTTTTTTTTTTTGCCAAAGGCACAATCCCCTGGCCAGGGAGAAGCAAAGTGAAAAATCGCCCTCTGGGGGGATGGCCATGCCACAATCCCCTCTCCTCCATTCTCCTCTCAAGATTTTGGGCACGCACGTATACATACATACCCAGTGTGATTTTCAAGTCGTGGGCGGGTTCAAACTGCAGTGGGCCATGTGGGAGTCCAGTCCAACTACCATGAAAACCTACTGACCCATTTTTGGCTTTATAGACAATTACTACAGTTGTACCTCTCAACCTCTTTCACTTTCACTGTACTTGTCCCTTGGCACTGTCACTATATACCACTCTCGCTCACTAGCACTAGAACCCTTTTTGAATACATGGATCCATTCTTTTCTCTTCGTTTACCTTACTAGCCAGCATAATGCTCAGCAAACAGAAGTACTTTGTTTTTTTTCCCCTCTTTTTGAGAGATTTTTCCTATAGGGTGAATGTGCTCACAGGAGAGACAGAAAGCAAGAAACCACCCCCTAAGGGGTATGGCCACACTGCAATCCCTTCTCTTCCATTCTCCTCTCAGAATTTTGGGTACGTACACATACATGCCCAGTTTGAGTTTTTAAGCCGCTGGGTCTGGGACTCTAAATGCAGTAAACTATGTGGGAGTTCAGTGACATAACCATTGTACCATCTGCTGGTCCCACAAAGAGAAATACTTTAATAAATATCTGCTGGTGGACGTGAAGAAGAGAACTGGGCATACTGTGCAAAGCCTGTATCAGCACAAGAAGGAAGAGATAAGACACTCAGAAGAGCAAAAGCTCTCAGTCACCTTTCCAGAGTTATTCCCCCCTGCCCAGAACATCAGATATGAAACCCAGACTCCCAGTGTACAAGGAACAAAGAGGCTCTGAAGAACAGTTTTTTATACATCGGTGTTGTAAGACACCCAGGAACAGGAGAGACAGAAAGCAAGAAACCACCCCCTAAGGGGTATGGCCACACTGCAATCCCTTCTCTTCCATTCTCCTCTCAGAATTTTGGGTACGTACACATACATGCCCAGTTTGAGTTTTTAAGCCGCTGGGTCTGGGACTCTAAATGCAGTAAACTATGTGGGAGTTCAGTGACATAACCATTGTACCATCTGCTGGTCCCACAAAGAGAAATACTTTAATAAATATCTGCTGGTGGACGTGAAGAAGAGAACTGGGCATACTGTGCAAAGCCTGTATCAGCACAAGAAGGAAGAGATAAGACACTCAGAAGAGCAAAAGCTCTCAGTCACCTTTCCAGAGTTATTCCCCCCTGCCCAGAACATCAGATATGAAACCCAGACTCCCAGTGTACAAGGAACAAAGAGGCTCTGAAGAACAGTTTTTTATACATCGGTGTTGTAAGACACCCAGGAGTGAGCGCCACAGGATACCATTTAGAAACTATGTTAATTTTGCTTGGGAAGCAAAGTGCATATGAGGGAATTCTTGGGTACAGGTCAGCTTGGGATGAATCTGTAACACTCTTTAAACATTTTAAAATACAATCTGTACTGGCGGCTTTCAGTCCAATCAAGCTTCTATCCATCCTAGCCAGAGAGTTATTTCTTCAGTAGCTTTCGGGTTATACTAAAACCAGCTTCGCCAAAAATTAACTCATCTATGTGAGGGGGGAAAAGCACTCCCCCGCTTTCTACAAGAAAGTGTGTATTTTGAATACACCTTGTCCACTATCAAAAAGTTTGTTGCATATAAGTGTCTACTAGATTGTATCTATCTACCTATCTATCTATCTATCTATCTATCTTTCTGTCTATATCTTTGACTGCCTCAGATCCACAAAAAAGTCATTTTTAACTAAAGAAACCAGGAAGCAAATGGTTGAAGCCAACAACTTCTACCTTGACAACACCATGGACAAGCGCTGTGTCTTGTCTAGACTAAGTTAACCTGCTGAAGAAATTATGAAATCTTGTTTTCTCAGACCAAATGTGATCTGTGGTCAAGGACCCTGTTCTCGATTTCCCAAAGTGAATCAGCAGCTTTGTTATCAACCTAAAGATAAAGAGTAAAGAAAAAATAAACAAAGGTTTCCATTAATAATAGAGAAAAAAATAAGGAGGTCTTGTCTTTTTGTTTTCATAGGAAAAAAAAAACTCACAATCTGAAAAAAGTAGTAAAAATCTGATTCAGAGGACTATACAAAACTCAGGGGAAAAAAAGGTTTTGTAATTAAATACATTAAACCTTTCTTTCGTTAACTTTTTGTTTTTATTTTTTTGCCGTATGGTGTACACACTAGCAGACAGAGGGAAAGCGAGAAATCACCCCCCAGGGGAGATGGTCATGCTGCAAATCTCTCCTCTAGTCTCCTTTCTGGATCTGGGGCATGCAGGCACACATGTCTTGTGCGTTTTTCAAGCCGCTGGGTCCGGGACTCGAATTGCATAGTCAGCTGTGTGAGATCTAGCACTTTAACCACCAGGCCACCTGCTGACCCTAACTTTTTTTTTTCAATTGCCAAAAGGAAAAAAGGAAAGATTAAAAAACACCCCCAGTGGGATGTGAACATGCCACGATCCCTTTTCTTCCATTTTTCCATCCTGTCAGGACGCTGGGCGTGTACACATATATACCAGACACATTCTTGAAGCCATCAAGGCTGGTATTCAAACCATGGTTGGTTATACAGGCTCTAGCTCCCAATGCACAGTGCTTAACCACTGCATGCCATGGCCCACTAAACCCTTTTTCTTTTTATGGGGGGAGAGGTTTTGGTTATAGGGCACGTGTACTTGCCTGAGAGACAGAGAGAGAGAGAGAAAGCGAGAAATCACCCCTTAGGGAGGATGGCCACACTGTAATCCCTTCTCCTCCATTCTCTCAGGGTCTTAGGCATACACGCACATACGCCCGGCATGAGCTTAAGCCACTGGGTCCAGGACTCAAATTGCGGTCGACTACATGGGAGTCCAGAGACATAGCCATTACGCCAACTGCTGTTCCCTCCTTTTTCTTTTTTATTTTAAAGTTTTTTTTTTTTTTTTTTTTTTTTTTTTTTTGTCACACCCCATGAGTACTCGTTGGGGAAAAAGAGAGAAGGAAAGTGAGAAATCAACCCTGCACTCCCCACCCCACTCCCCGAACGGCCATACCATAGTCCCTTCTCCTCTAACCCCTCTCATTTCAGGATTTGGGGCAGGGGCGTCTAGTATGTCTTTTAAGTCTGTGACCCCAACCATGCAATTGGCCCAATGGGATCCAGCCACATTAACTACCATGTCACCTGCTGGTCCCTAAAACTTTTTTAAAAGCAAGCTCATGTGGGGCGTGGGGTGGGTGGTATCTATCAGACCCTTCTATTGTCTCATAGCAAAAGTGAGACCCAATCAGGATGCTACCCTTCACTAGTACTTTCTTTTCATGCTCTTTCCAGGTTCTTACATTTACCCATTGGAAGATGCCAGGTTACCTAAGAAGTATGGCGCTAGAAATAACCTGGACAAGGTATTAGTAAGTTTTAAATAGAAACTTTGGAACATTCTTGAAATCCAACCTCTAGATTACTGAACTGAACTACACAGAAGACTGTTGTTTCGAGGGAAATCTTTGGAAAAGGTCTTCTGAATGTAGAAAATATATAAGGAGACAAATCCGACTTAAGGTTGTAATAAGGTTATGAGTGGGTCTATCCATGCTTCTTAACTGGTTTGTCCAAAATCTTTAGTCTTCTCCCTCCCAAGAACAATAATGCTCATTAATAAAATCTATTGCAACAACATGTTTATCGACTTCTCAAGACTGGAGTCCAGCCACATATAAAAAGAAACAAAACTTAACTGGAATAGAGACAAAACGAATTACAAAAGCATCTCTTATATCTGTGCCTCAGCACCATTACATTTCTCAAGCAGCAGTCTGAGAGAAGCACAAAGAAGCAGATACCAAAGCTATCCTCCAAACACCCTAGCAAACATCATTGTCATTTTAAAATGTGGCTAGACTTTGAGGAGAACCACATCCAACTTTGGCTTCCCGGGGAAGCAAATTCCACAGGTTGACTCACCATCTATATCACCTGATTTTTATTTGCTCTTAAACCTTTTGAATTAAGCCTGGGGGTTCAAATTAACATACAAGAGAATGGTCAGTAGTCTTTAAAGCTTCCGCTAGGGGAAAATTTTAGATCCAATCCGAGAAAGATCCGAGAAACCGGTGTTAAAGCCTTAGACTGGCAGAGCTTGAAACCATCGCAAGTTTGCTGGACAAGCTCCTGATGACCCCTCACCTGGTTGAACTCCTCGTCAGCGTATATATCAATCAAGTCCACTCCTTCTGACATGGCTCCTGGATGAAGATCGCGAGCCCGGAGGATGAACGAAGTAATGAAGATGCCACTGCGGTATTCAGAAAGAGTGAGAATTAGAAGGCCTGAGGGTCCCGGAATGGGAGGAGGGCGATGGTTGCCAACCTCCTGTCTCTAGAGACGCAGCATCCCGGCAGCCGAAGCCCGGCCCCACC